ATTCGACCGTAATTCATTCAATTTTTAGGTTTGTTTATAGCGAAGCTGTATTTAACTTTCAACTGCACATTAAAACAATAAATGCTTTTTTCCATGACATACACTACAGTAGGTAGTAATTATTTGTTGGCATCATTTTAAAATTCTTTGCCGAAAATCTCTACCCTATGCATTGAAGTAATATGTACTTACGTACTAGAAGAGCTATCTCAAACAAAAAATGTGCGCTGCTCTGTGTTCGCACGGTTGGTTTTTCATCATAGAATAAGCATAGGTAGAATGATCCGTAGGTAATTGTAGATTGTGTTGTTAAATAGGTAAATTATATCGAGAACAATATTTAAATTTTGTCATTTATTTTGTATATGATATTTGCTTATTTAATATAATATTACATAATATTATATCACAATTACATTTTAATGACATTTTTATCTGAATATTTTAAAAGGTATCTATGTCAAATATTAAAAAATCATACTAAATGTATGTTTTACAAAACTTATTAACATAACACTTAAATTACAAATATATTTATTTAAATTAGAATAAGAGTCGTTCATAAATGCTGGGCACGCGAGAGTTAAAAATGGACAAATTTATTCCACTTTGGATTTGATGTGGAAACCTAAAAATAAAATAAAATAATAATAAGCAGATTTAAAGAAGAAAAATTTAGCCTTATTATAATAACTTATATACGTTTCTACAAAAAAATGTGTATAATAATATATTCGTCCTATACTTAAGTAACCACAGAAATGTCGCATCTGAACATATTAATTTCATAATCTATATTCCATGACACGAGATGACGTCTTAGGAATAATTTGTTTTATTAATAATCTATAATACTTTTTTTATTGATTAAATATCTTATTAACCGATGAAAAGTAATTCCTTGGTTTTTACTGACATTTCTTTAATTATTTGTGCAATATCTAAGTACAGGTACACGACGGCATATTTTTATCAAGAGATTTTTTTTAAATCAACACAACACGTAACAACTCTATAAGCGCCTAGTGAGTGACTGATTAAAGTGCGGTGTATGCACCGCAGTTGAGTGGAACATAGTAGCTGAATGCAGTGTCGCCTCTAGTATGTAGTACGTAATAGCTCAATGACTCAGGTACTACAGACTATTACATGTTTGACATTGGTACTATGAAAAAGATTTTTTTATTTAACGTATTTGTAACACAAACTGCTTTCTGCACTCCTTCTCCATGAAATTACTGTGAAAATATAATTATATATAGTATATCACAATCACACTATAATAAAATGAAGGTACCTATCAAGATTTCCCTTCACGTATTAATATAATATATTACATATATCGATATTTTAGATATGGTTATGAAAAAAAAATCCAATCCACAAAAAGCTTCTTTTGAGATATTTAAGTTTGAATTCAAGGATGAAAGTTACTTCGATGTTTTTTTATAAGATAAGTGACAAACGAGCACACAATCCACCTGATGGTAAGTGGTGGTGGCCCATAGACATCTACATCTTTCCTCGATTACGAATTAAAATGCAGATACGTTGTCATCCGTGAGGATTAAAATGGAATGCCTCGTTTGTAGTAAACTGGGTCTCCGGTTCTCTACACTCACCATACGAAACACAGCAACATTAAGTTACTATTTTACGCTGGTATTCTGTGAGAGCGTTGTCCTTCGCCGGTCGAGCCGACCCATTCGTGCTACCACTATATTAATAACATAGCTTCAGCGTGGCTCTACCATACGTAGTTTTACTTTTTATTTTGTGTAACTGGTATTATTTTTATAAATAAATATATATGTATGAAATTGAAGACCCTAATGTATGTAATGGTGATCCTTTTTGCATAACAACGTCCAGTTGACATCACATAGTAAGTAGTAAGAATGTATTGATTTACGTAATGTACCAATTTTGTAATGCCAACCAAAATTAGATCAATGACCATGTAACGATAAATGTACAAAAGTGTCTCGTTAAACCAGTTTCTCATGGAGTACGGCCAAGTTTTAGACTAACATGTGTCAAAATTATTGCATTACTGCCATAAGTAATTCATATTTAACACTGTCATTAAAAAAAGAGCCGTGGTAGCTCAGATTATTAGCGCTCGCTGTAAATTTCACAGTACGCGAGCAACCCGGGTTCGATCCCCGCCGGCACTTTTGTTTTTTTATTTGCAATATTAAGTGCTGATTTACTACGTATTCAGCAGTGAAGGAAAACATCGTGAGGAAACCTGCATGTCTAATAAATAAGAAAAAAATTGGTTGACCCTGCAGGCCATCCCTGGAACTTCCCGCTAATTTCAAATGCAAAGCGCTCTAAATTTCACCAAATTATGTTGCGAAATCTCGAAGTTATGTAAAAGAAACGTTTTTTTAAATTCTTTCTACTTTGATATCTCACGAACGAATGAACCAATTTTTATTTTTCAAACGGCATTCGACGTTATTTTTTGAGGTTAAGAGCTGATTAGTTTTGAAATCGATCAGTAAAGCCGTTTAAAAGTTATTCCAAAAAACAGTTTTTCAAAAATTTTATTTTTGAGATTTCTTAAAATCTACTCGTCCGAATCAGTTCATATTATCACCAAATGTTTTCCACATTGAGATCTTTAGAACGCCGCAAACTGCATTTCAATCGATCAAGACGTTAAAAAGTTATGAAATAGCTTCCAAGGATCGCAAAACGTCGAGATCTGACGAAAACTCGATTTTCCAAAAACTTGACGAAACCAATAACTTCCCTATTTTTGAAAATTTTAAATTTTCTTAGCGGGAAGTTAAAAATATTTCGAAGACGTGAAATTCGAAAAAAAATTGGGGAAGCGCGGTGGACACTCTCTTGCCCTAAAACCCTCTTGAAAATGAAAGGAGGCCTTTGCCCAGCGGCGGGACGTATATAGGCTGTAACTAACTGGCATAAATCCAAAAATTAATTCTAAAATAATATTTAAAAAACCTGGCTCGATCTTTTGTTGCCATTAGACTGCAACACCATGTTTATTGAGGTAGAAAATCGGGCTTAATTAAAGATTTTTTTCTTAAAGAAACATTTTATTTTCGTTTTATAATGAATGACAATACGAAAGGATGGTAGCTTTACTTCTATTTGTTCAACGGTGGAAAGGGGAACAGTAATTATATTATTAAGCCCAATTAATCCCCCATGGACAATCATGCAGTTCTGCTGTCTAATATAGGTATTATATATGTATCTGTAGAATACCAAGTGACTGGCCTCTGTACACCTGCATTCGCTACACTGAGCAAATTACTGGAAATCAAATAGGGTTTATCAATAATTCCTTTCTTCATTGAATCCAAAGACGCTAATTTTATATTTTTTTAAACTTGGATTTTGCGCATATTTTGACGATAAAGTTATTTTAACACTTTGACAGCCGACAGTTTTTTAGCGCGCATTCTCTGGTACGCCGGCCATTTATTAATATATTGTAAGATTATTGGAAAATAATTATAAGTGCTATATGCATACTTTTTCTTACGTAAACGTAATTTGTAATTGTGTGATATTTTTTTTAATAAGAAATAGTTTCTTTTCGTCCACCTTTCCCAGTTACTTTCTTTAATAAGTCAGCACTCTTGCCACTTCGTTTTTTCGGTGCTCGACGTAGCGAGCAATGATGCCGCAGCGCAGCAGACATAACCCTTCCTCACGCCTACACCCTGCACCGCTTTTCGATAAATAATGCATGTATGTGTATCCAAAGAAACACCCTCGGCCAAAGTTACGCTCCGATGACGTACTAAATGTGTGATTTTTTTTAAAACGATATGAAAGTTGATCACGTACTCAGTACGTCATCGGCGTCCTGAGGAAAGATCGTCATCACGTACCCGATACGTGATCGGCCGTTAAAGTGTCTATCTAAATGTATGAACATTATATATTAAGAAATTAGACCATTTCTTACTTGGTAAAGCCACGCTGCAGCTACAATATAGTAGTAGCACGAATGGGTCAGCTCGACCGGGGAAGGACCACGCTCTCACAGAATACCAGCGTAAAATAGTAGCTTAATACTGCTGTGTTTCGTATGGTGAGTATATATATATATATATATATATATATATATATATATATATATATATATCGACGATGAAGTGACAAGAACCTTTATCTACCAGAACATGATTTTACAGGAAACGAAAAAAAACTTTTTATTTAAAAATATTTTTCATTTTTCATACCTTGCGTTTAAAAAAACGCAAGGTATGAAAAATACTATTATTGGATATATATTAAATAAGAAGCGGGTATAGGGGGCTATGTGCGACTAGTGTATATACAATCAACTTTTTGATTTAGACGTAGATAGGTGATATTGCAGTCCAGGCTTTGAAAATATACATTATAATAGCAAAGATAGAAGATATTTCTAGTAAGTAATTTCTATAATATTTTAAAGAAAAGGCATGATTTGCATAGAATAATTTTTAATTAACTTCAAAAATGTTTCAGATTGTTAGAAAATAACATTGTCATATTAATTATTACAATCAAATATCTGATACAACATAAAAATGGCTACATTGCTCTTGAGACTTAATTAAAAGAAAACAGAATATAATCAGTTTATAATTACGATTATTGGAACAAATACAATGGAAGAAAAAAACATGTTATGCCGACCGCAAATAAAATCTGACAAGGGCAGGAAGATGATGTTGGGACAACTATGTTGTCTCAAAAATTTTGTTTTATTAAATGAACCAAATGGTTCAAACAAATGGCAAAGTGTCATAAAAATTATGGCAATCTTTAGGTAATACTGCTTTTAGTTGTTGCAGGTGGTTGTACTTCATTACAGTAATTGGAATTTTGTTAGGTTGTAGTGGAGGATAGATTGCTTCCGAAGCTAGTAACCTAGGTCTGTGCGTTAAAGGAATCAACTGTTCGTCAAAACCCAGTTTAACTTAGATTGTCATAGTATTGTACTTTATTACTCTGATATCTACAACCTGTGGATCGCCAGCTTTGCGGCCTGGTCGAATACTTTTATAAAGCATATTTTCAGGTCGGGCATAATCTTTAACAAATTCATGATCTACATTAATTGCTTCATAAGGGTTAGTGCTTCGTGCCTCTTTAGTAATCGTAACATAATCACTAGGCAAATGTATTTCACGATTTTTGAGTTTTCGCTCAATAGTACTGTGAACCGAGTCACACTCCTGGTTCTAACAATTTTTGCGTTATGATTACGTTATGTTTCTTGCTCAAAAGGAGCAGTGCATTTGCCAGCACATAATTACGATTCTGATATGTGCACCCGTCGGAGTAAATAACAATTGGTAACTGATGTGGAATACAATGTCTTTCTAAATAATCAATAAAAAACGTCGCAAAAGTGCTAGACGTTAAATCAGCAGAAGTTTCGTCGAACCAATAACAACTGCAGTGCTTGGTTACTAAATTAAAAACAGTGAAATTATGGCACGTTAACTTTGTCTTCAAATACAAAGCACTAGCAGTAAGGTAAGGACAAACCTTCACAGCCTCTAAATCCACAGTCAAAAGTATAAATTCTCCAGCAGCTGTTTTTTTCTTGTCCTCTTCTTTTTCTTGTCTAGCTCTGTTTTTCTTAAACATATGTATTTGGTAATCTGATTCATTTAAATTATCCGAATTGTAACTTGAACAGGTGTCACACATGTCCTTTTTAAGCGTAAATAGTGACAAATTTTTGTCATGAAAATTCTTTTCAAATGTAAATCTACTAACATAAGGTTGACTAGTTTCAGTGCAATATTTCTTATACGTTTTGTATAAGTCGGAAAGAGAACGATAGATTGGTTCTATGAAGAGTTTAGCTGTTCTTTTCTTGCGTAATTCGGCGGCAATTTTGGCAAACTTGTAAAAAAATTGTTTAAAATTGAAAGTTTCGTTTCTACTTCTGCTCTTGGAGTCTTTGTTTTAGAATCGTATATTGCATCATGGTTTGAAGTCATGCCAAACTCACTCTTTTTTACCCATGCTTGAACAGTGAACGATCAAAGTGATAAGGTGTTTAAAAACATTTGTTTACATACATGTACTTTATTTGAACAATCTTTTTCAATCGGCAAAAAATATGATAGAGTTCCCTCCCGCCTAGATAGTTCACTAGCCGATTTAGTTTTCCGAGATGTACTAGATCGTGTCACCAATCCCGTAACGTAAACTCTTCGTTGATCCCAGGTCATTTTCTTCCAAAAATTGCTATGTATATCCTTTCGACAATCCTCAGTGAAGCTATCACAGCCTCTTACCTTACTCTTCTTACAAAAATTGGAGACGCAAGTTGGTCTTAGCCGTCTTGCTTGTCTTACAATATCTTGTTGGAACTTCCTATCTTTTGATTTAGAATATCCTAAATACTCTTCACCTCGCATTCGCTTCAAAAAAGCCTTGTTCCTTTTCCAAGATTTTGGGTCAGCATTGTGACGACGTTTTCGACCTTCTTCCATATCTCCATAATCTTGTTGGTCCCCAGTCACCAATACTTCAGCAAAATTTCTTTCTTCAGGAATTTGGTAAACATCATCTGATGTAGATTCGATCTGATCCGGTTTGTTAAACGCAATCAATAAATCAAGATTACTTGTAATGTCCAACAACGCTGGAACCGATGGCGACTTTTTTAGGGAACTAATCATATTGTTTGTATCATGCGTTAAATCAGATAATGACCAAGACCTTACTACGAGACGACGACGAGTGCTTGAATATAAAGCAGTAGATTCGTAATCATTATTGTCAAGGATTTCTGTGGGTTCAAAGCTACAGATTTCCGGTGGACTTAAAACATTGATGTTGGCGTTGATAGCTTCCTTTGCTTTAAAATACCTACTTAGGTATTTGAAAAACGTATTCATTAACCTTAACAATTACAAAAAAAGAAGAAAACACTTCTGTTTAAGTTTTAACTGTATGAGCATTAGTTTAAGCTAAAAATAATTACCTGGTATAACAAAAATCCCACTATTTACATTAAAAACAACAAAAACACTCTTCCCGCAAACTTTCACGTTGCAACTTGCTCCGAATTCAAACGAAATGACAGAAGAAAAAAGGTAGGCGAATATCTCATGATAGCTGCGTGAAAGTAAGGACGTATCTAGCAGGAGTGAAGATAGGAGGTCTTGACAGAAATAATTTCTTTAGGGTTATTTAGTAGTTATTGATATTAGTTTCTTAGATGATATTGTCAGAAAATTTGATGCACATTTGCTTAATAGTTATTGTCAGTTATTAATAACTGGTTAAAAAATAAGATATAAAGTTAGCTGCTATTGCATGCTCACGCAAATAATTATTTAAGGTTTATCTACGAAAAAAAAGTAAAATCGCAAAAATGTCAGTTAGGAGTTCTTGTCACTTCATCGTCGATATATATATATATATATATATATATATATATATATATATATATATATATATATATATATATAGTAGTTTGTTCAGAATCGTTTACTGAATCGATTCCTATCATTTTTAATATAGGTAATTTTTTATCTCAAAAATAATTAAAACTACGTAAATTACAGTCACACTAAATCTGTACAGTCAAAACAAACCGAAATGGACCGTAACTTAAGGCAATAAGACTTTTAAGAAAGCAGTTTTATTTGTATTATTACTAATTTTATCATTCAATAAAAATAAAGAAAAATGAACTTTATTTCAAGCACGTTAAAGTCTTTGCGTTCGTGGATTTGTACTGTGACCACAACAGTCTTCCGGAATTAATATAACTAATTTGATTAATAATCAGTGCATAAAAATGTTTAACTAAAAATTCTGTGCATGTATTATGATTATAACATAATATACTAATTGGGATGTCGACATATATATATATATATATATATTTTTTTTTTTTTTTATATATATATATATATATATATATATATATATTAAGTAGATAAAGTAGAAGTATTCAAATAACGGATCGTGTGGAAAACGGAGAACCAGTCCGCTTAGAACGTTTACAAATACATTAAGTTTATATCCGCCTGCAAATTATGAGTCAAATATATATTTTAGAGTTCGTGTATCAATCAATATATAGAGTGTAAATAAAATTGATTTGTCTGGCTGTCATATCAAAGTAACTGCCTTTTATTGAGCTGAGGAGGTCACTTGTATACCATTAAGACCTGAGTAAAGATTATAAAATTTTTGACCTTAGTCTCCCTGGGCTCTTCATCGGTTTGGCTGAACAGATTGCTGTGAAACTTCTCTAACGCAGAGAGCAATGCCAGGAATAATCTAAGCTACATTTTATCCGAAAAACTAGAAGAATTTTTTTCAAGCAATCGAAAAATTTGAGAATGAAATGGCTTTTGATGATTAATGATAATTTAATAATATCTTTAAATCACAGAAACACCACATTAATAAATTCCAACCAGACGGTGCCGGGGTGGGTGACCAGTCGTCAAAAATATTGCATTAGTGGTGAAACGTCAGTGGCTTGTCCACAAACTCTGAAGTTCATGGGTTCCAATCCGCTATTCGGCTACTGTCGTCAACCACTACTCACCCAAGCATTTTAAACTTTATTGGGAGTGATTAGCGGGAATATAATTATTGTTAAAAGCATTAATAGTATTTTTTTAAATGGCGCGTGTCAGACGCGCCATTTGAGTTTAGGTATATTTCTTATCACAGAGTAACTGTGATGTTAGTGCTGTTAGCCTATTTCGCTTTTACAGCTTCGTCTAATACAGGGCTATCAGGCCACGAGTTGTCTAAAAGAAGGGAAAGGCGATGATGATGATGGTGGTGGTGGTATATGATTTGCTTTTGTTTCAAATCATCAAGTCTCTTCTGTGGGAGGAGTTTAGGTACTACTTAAGAATCTGTGGGACCATTTTGAATTCATTATATATTTACAATTTAGTACTTCTTATTTTATTCTTAATTATATAACGAATATTATATAGAATTGATGTTATTGGCCTATTGCCACTTTACTTCACAGGTCTGTTAGAATCTCAGTTACTTTAGTTCTTCTGCGAATTTTCTCATTGCTAAGTCTACCACGCGGAAAAACTCCGAGCAAAACCTTGTGCTTAGCTTGCGCCTCAGCAACCCTGACCTACCCTCATTGAGCCAGCAGTGCAGGACTGTCTACACCTCAGATTCATATGCCGTCACAAGCAACACGCACTGACCAAGTATGGTAGTAGCCAAGTACTGCTTTATAATAGGTTTGTATTATTATTATTACTTTGTATTATTATTTTATAATAGGTTTGTATCGGAGTTTGCTCGGAGTTTCTCTGCGTGATAGACTCAGAAATGAGGATATCCGCAGTAAAACCAGAGTGACCGACATAGCCCAACGGATTGGTAAGCTGAAGTGGCAATGGGCCGGTCATATAGCTCGAGACCGATAACCGATGGGGAAGAAAGGTTCTCGAGTGGCAGCCTCGTACCGGTAGGCGTAGTGTAGGGCGACCCCCACTAGATGGAGTGACGACCTGGTAAGATATGCAGGAAGTCGATGGATGCAGGTGGCTCAGGACCGTGCTTTGTGGCATTACTTGGGGGAGGCCTATGTTCAGCAGTGGACTTGTGAAGGGCTGTAATGATGATGATGATGATGATGATAGGTTTGTATTATTATTTTACGAATTTATTTAATCTGGATTAACCAGTACGCACAAGCTGTAGGTAAGAAAGTGCCCAAAAATAAGAATCCGGAGCGGGCCACAAGTAGACCCATTGACAACACTCGGCGAATGCCGGTCAAGGGCTTTGCGGCCAAGAAACTTGATTATCTTCCCGCCAAAAATTAGGGTCTGCCGAACCGTTAAATTACTATAACATGATTATTGACGAAGAGAAACATTTTGAGCTCAATCTAAAGTGGTCGGAGAACATAATATATGATAGTAATATGTAGTTATATTATTAAACGTGACCGCTCGATTCTGGTGCTGCGGGCTACGTGTTTGTATTGGAACAACTACTTCTATGGCCTACATAATAATTGTTTCTGGTCTCGACGCCTTGAATTTTAATAATCTGCAAAATATTTATTTAATACGCTTCCACGATATAAAGAAATTCCTGATAACGGAGACAAACGAGCAAAGAGTACACCTTATGGTAGTGGTTGCAGTAATCAACAAGAAGACGTGCATTTTCACCCTTAGGAACTATAGCGGTGATATAGTCTATTGGTTTATTAAACATATTTTCAAAACATGGCATCATTATACGCTTGTATTCTACAGGAATGTGGTCTCTTCGCGCCCGTGGTTGAGACCTGATGCAACGATATACAATGTCACTACCACGTATGTAAAAGTACCACATAATAAATAACTGTAGGATCAATAATTAAAATAAAATAAAAGTTTCATTAGGGCAAAATATCTTAGAATAGCTGACCCTGCACCGGACAAATAATTCTCGGAACCAGTTTCCGAATTTCACACATACTCGTGTGTTAACGAAGTTAAGGTCAGACGCAGCGTAACTCGAGTGCATTATTAGTAATCATTGATTTCACTTTTAAATAAATGGATATAAAAATAAAAATATTTTGCAGATAATCTATAAATATATATAAAATCCTACACACATTGGGCAACGCAGCTAAAACCCTCTCAGAAACGAATACATATAGATATAGGCTGTCACTTAAAGTGTATTGCCAGTTCTGTAGAAAGTTCTAAAGCCTCATCTTCCCAAAGCCAATTAAGTATGCAATAAGTATGAATGTCCTAACATGGTGATATTCTTCATAATTAAGTTATAGTATAGTAGAAGGTAGGTTATAACTACCGTATTCACCGTTCCGCACAAATGTACTATATTTACCGCACTTGGTCACTCGTTCTACGAATGTCAAAGTTCAATGCGGAACATAGGCTTCCAGTTAGATTGCCTCATAAGAGGAATCTTTGCCATAGTTGCTTGGCATGCGGGTTGGCACCGCAGTATTTATTTTCTGGTTGTTATTAGAAATGCGCTGTTGCTCATCTCTTGGGTCGTTTCCCTATCGCATTTTAGGACACCACGGGACAAAATAGAGTAGTGAGGGTAGTATGACCATCCGGTTTATATCGTCACTTTCTTATAACTCAAAAACTACAGCTTTGTTTGCACTTATGGCTTTCCGATACGATAGCTCTGGTCAATCAAATAATAAAGGGTCAAAGTGGCGATGCTTTATCAAAGCCATTTTGAACAGTTAACATTATAGTAAATATTTCAGTCGATTTTAGTACGAGTATGGTGTAGTGAAATATTTACTGTATTTTTAATAGATTTTTCGAAGTGTTCCTAGTTATTTCCTAAGCTCCCAAAAAGCTAAGCTAAGCTAAAGCTTCCAAAAATAGCAAACATATTTTTTACTTAATATATTAGAGTACACGACTTTGTGATTTTGTCTCTGTCCTTCTAGTTTTGGTTTTATAGGAAGGCAAAGCTTAAGATGACCATATTACTCTCACGTACCTTAGTGGATATTCTTATGCCACAACTACCGATAAACCTACGAATGATCCGTAAATATGTATAATTAACAGAAGTCTGAAAAACTACCTATGTGACTTATGTTACTCCTCTTGCTATGTTAAGCCTACTTTAAAATGCACCATAGTCTCGTGCTATACGTTGTATTAATATCATCTCACAAGATTGACATATTAAAAGCAGAGAGACGAAATTCGTATTAGCTGCATACGAATGCGTTGTGTTAAATTATGTAATAACTTATTTTAAATTTATACTAACATTTGTTTTTCTTTTTCGGATGTGGGTTGGTGGGCTCCGGTGAGAAGGGTGTCCTCCCCCCCTTCCACTGCAGCTGAAGTGGAGTCGCGGGGGGAAGAGGAGTGTCAGTATCGTGCTGGCGGCGGAACCACAAACAAGATCCACTGCTAGGGTCGGGAAAACTGGTACTGCCGAGTTCTCGTTTTTTCCTGGCTCCATGACCTCCATATATCGAGTTGGGGGAGGTCCATTACACAGGTGGAGCTCAGGCCGAGAAGGAAGGCATGCCTTTTGTTCCTGGTGCGCTTTACCTGAAAGGGAAAAGGGGGAAAAGTCTTCCCTCAAGGAAGGGCTGCCATGGGCCGGCCGGCACTAGAAAGGGGCGCAGATATGTGCGAAAGCGTCTCCGTGACCCTGCCACTATGGACTATGGACTGCGAGAAAGCTTGCGACCTAGCCGAAATGTGAGTGACGCTAGAGTCAAAGCGTTGTCACATTGATGAGTTATCAAAATGATTGATTTATTTTTGACTGTACATAAGAAAATCTACGGTGACCATCCTCGTAGAACTTCAGTGTGAACATGTTTTGCAGTGCTATAAATAATTACAACGCAATAACCATTATACTCGTAACTTCGCAAACTGGAGGTTGTCATCATTTATCTGGCTTAATTTTTACTTGTAAGAACGCTTAATTTCGTACAGTTTGGATGTTTTAACGTTATATTTGGTTTTCATCGAAAACGTATTATTAAATCTTTATATTCATTAAATATCATATTCAAATGTCGCAATTCGACTGTAAAAACAAAGGAGGGGCGTGGTTTCCGGTTTTAAAGTATACCAGGTACCTATACCTCTAAATCTGAAAACAATATCGTACAACCAGTTCGTGTTGCCAGTGATGACTAATGGATCTGACACGTGGTCCTTCACTGCTAGCCGTATGAGGAACTTAAGGTCGCTCGGTGAGTTACGGAGAGGGTCATGCGCGTGCTTTCTCCACGTGATAGATTTAAAAATAAGTATATACGCAGTAGAACCAAAGTAACCGACATAGCCCGACGGATTAGTAAGCTTAGAAAGATTCTCGAGTGGCAGCCACGTACCGGCAGGCGAAGTGTAGGGCGACCGCTCACTAGACGGAATGACGACCTGGTAAGACATGGAGGAAGTCGATGGATGAAGGTGTCTCAGGATCGTGCTTTGTAGCGATACTCGAGGGAGGCCTATGTTCAGCAGTGGCTCCTGAAGGTATGTAATGAGTAGTTGAATGAATTAATGTATGGTATAAGTAGGTATAATGAGTGTAATCGCAAACACTTACTTTTGTTTTTTTTTTCAAAAATGTTTGTTTCAGCTTTGTTTCGAACATACGAATACAACCCACGAGTAATACAACTGTAACCAGTCTCTCTGACTCACAGGCCACGCCAGCGTCATGTTTCAAATATGTCATCATAAACGTCTCATTCCCGAAATCGTATCATGTCAATCGACTGACACCGAAGTAATGCAGTGTCGGGTTCGACCTTCACCTCTTAGTGCATTGTACCCGCTTAATTGTGACCCACAGCCCGCGGCAATCTTTATGTCACCCAGGCCCAAAATACACGCCACAGATGCAGTATAAAAAGTGTCGCAGGTCGCAAAACAATATAGTTCAACCTCAACAATTCAAGTAACAACAATGGCAGCCAAGGTATTACTAAAGTTTGTGTAGATTTTAAATATTAATTTTCTTAAAAAATAGGTACAGATATAGGTACTTTGGTCGTTTTTGTACCTACTTCTATTTTCTACGATAGCCCCACCCCATCGTCTGCCAAGCGTGATGTTCACGCCAAATTATATTCCCTACTATTGGAGAAGCCCACATTCTAAAGTCAAGTACTGAACGGCTAATGAAGAAATGTAGGCTATGCATTTTAAATATCGACTTTCACTTTAAAATTTATTTAACAATTGCTTATTATTTGAATATAGATATTATTATTATTATTTTTAATTTTTATGTGAGCCGTTCTTGTATATATTTATTTATATAGGTATGTAATTGGTTTCTCGGAAACGACCTTTGCAATTTGGATCAAATTTGGTACATACATATTAGGTAGGTAATGTTTTACTTTCCAAGTTTAACTGGATAGGTTTCGCCCTGACAAGTTTTTATTTTTTCCTCTATCGGCGAGCAAAATTGGTCGCTCAGGTACTACATTTTTATGAACCCATAGATCACGAGGCGAGCACTTATGTTAACATTTCACAGTACGCAAACAAACCGAATTCCATCCCCACCAGCACTAATGTTATTTTAAAAGCCGATAAATAAGTGTTCAACGATGACATTATGAGTATACCTTAGTAATTAAAATAATCAGCTAACACGTAAAAGGACAGCTCGACAGTCTTTTCGGTGCTACAAACCCTCTCAGAAATAAGTAAGATGTATAAAGGCTGTTACTTTATTTTTAAATAAAATTCACATTTTGTCTTGATATAATAATAAATATTGATGTCCTCCAGATCGAAGTTCGATCACTGCGGCTAGTTTTAACGGAGGATAGCAATCTGCGCAGGACAAGACTATAGTGCCCAAGTATATGCGCAAGCACAAGTGCTCTATCTATACCCTCACTCTCACAGTCCGATGGGGCGGTAAACTGACAGGACCGGAGAGTCAGGCGCAGGACCAACGGCTTTACGTGCTTTTCTAGTCACTGGGGTGAAACACATCCATATTTCTTACTCTGGGCTTCTACACACAAATGCTTGACAGAAAAACGCAATAACTTATAATTTTTTGACCTGACCCGTCATTCGAACTCGAGACCTCAAGGTTAGCAGTTACGTATAAGACCACTTGACCAACGAGACCAACGAGGTAGCCAAAGTCTTGATATAACAATGATACTTATTTACAATTTGTGAATTTTCATTTCAGTTCTTCATTCTCGTCTCTCTGGCCGTCGCGGCCTCAGCCCTACCCGTCGTCCCACTTGCGCAAGTGGCCTACGCTGAACCCGAGGCGCCCGCACACTACGAGTTCCAATACTCCGTCCACGATGAACACAGCGGCGACATCAAGCAACAACATGAAGCCCGCGCTGGTGATGCCCTTCAGGGCTCTTACTCCTTGGTACAGCCCGATGGTGTACACCGCGTTGTGGACTACACCGCCGACAAAGAGCACGGTTTCAACGCCATAGTTCGTTATGAAGGACACCCCACTGCAGCACCAGCGAAGATTGCTTACGCTTCAGCCCCCGTTGCATATGCAGCGCCAAAGTTTGCATACGCCCCCCGTCGCCAAGGTTGCCTACGCCGCCCCCGTAGCCAAGGTCGCCTACTCCTCTCCTCTCACCCAAGTTACCTTCTCCTCTCCGGCCATCTCCTACCACCACTAGACTGTAGAATAATGTTATATATAATTGTTAAAGTTGACCTATTTATTGGTACGATGTAATTTATAAATTACTTAATGACATTTTATCATTGTTAGTCATTTAAAAACAATATAAAAAGTCATGGTTTAAAATAACGAATCGTTATTATTTCCTTCTAACGTCAGTTTATACTAAATCTGTGACCTAAATACAAAATGCATTACAGGTCTATACGGTTATACGTGTTAGTGCTGAGCAAATCCTCCGGTCAATTATTTTAATAATATTTCTATGGTTTTTTTAAAGAATAGCCTGACAAACGAGCACACAGTCCACTTGATGGTAAGTGTATGTTGTAGCCTATAGACATCTACATTTATCCTCAAATCAAATACCAAAAAGTAGATGCGTTTTCGCCCCTGAGGACTAAGATGGAATGCCTCGTTTCTAGTAAAAAGGGTCTCCGGTTATCAACACTCACCATACGAAACACAGCAGCATTAAGCTGCTATTTTATTATTTTTGTTCTGTGAGAGCGTGGTTCTACCCCCAGCGAGCCAACCCATTCCTGCTACAACCATAATATAGATGCAGCTTGGCTCTATCACGTAAAAAACACCTCTTCCTAGATAAAAAATTAACATAAAATCTATATAATGGTAACTTTTAAGATGTAGTCCTGCATTTTCTACGGCTTAAGAGTTTTTCGTATTGTAGCAGAACTACTGCTAGCAAAGAATTCCGAATTTTACGCACATAATATGTTGACCAAGTTAAGGTCGGTCGCAGCGTTACTCGAACGCATTATCAGTAATAATCGATTTCACCTTTAAATAAATGTTTATAAATAATTGCTACCTCCTGGTATAATTCTACTACGGTAACAACTGCCGAATGTTTTCGAAAATTGTCAACTATAATATTGTAGTTGTGATATTGATTTTGGGAATATAATACTATGCTCTAACACAAGCAGAGGCACGCCTTATTTATATATATTTATTTATACAGATTATAATATATCCATAATGATTGTTATAATATATTCATTATCCATTAGTGTAGTCCGTTAGTGTGATTGCTGATCATGAGGTCCTGGGTACAAATCCCCCGTGTTACCAAAAATCAATTACTGAGTTTTTCCATCAAGAAATTCTCAGTATCTGCCCGAAATCAAGAAGTTGCCGGTGTTTCACCCCCGTACCTCGGAAATCACGTAAATCCGTTAGTCCTGCACCTGATCTCTCTCCGATCGTGTCGGTTTACCGTCCCATCGGATTAAGAGAGTGAGAGAATAGAGAGTGCACCTGTGCTTGCGCATACACTTGGGCGCTATAATCCTGTCCTGCGCCGATGGCTAGTCTCCGTTTGGGCAGGCCGCCGTGACCGAAATTTGGTCTGGACGACATTATTATTATCATTATTGTGGGGTATCTATATAGTTTTCTCATCTGGTTGGGTTCTATAAATATATAATTATAAATGAAAATGAAAAGATAAATATACATAAATATCAATAACATAAAATAAATATAAAAATACATAAATAAATAAAAGCCCAACCAGATGGAGGCCCTCGGCAGGGGAGACCAAACGGCCGAGGGTTAGGGGGAAAGGGAAAGAAACCGGCGGACGATGCGGGCGGTATCGAGGAGCACCGCCTTCTGCATTTGAGCCCGGAGCGGTCCGCCACGTAGTCCCAGTCGCCTCAGATGACCCGAGAGGCTGACTGGGATTAGCCCGTTTGCAGAGACGACTACAGGAATAATTTCGGTCGGCAGACCACCCCACATGTCGGTCACCTCGTGAGCCAGGTCCAGATATTTTGTTTGCTTGTCTGTTATAATCATTATTATTATCATTATTATTATTATTACATTTACCATAAATTACACCCTATAAAATTCCATTGCCGAACATAGGACTCAGGAAGAACATTTGCCATAATTACCACATGTAGCAGGTGGGCGGGACACCACAGTATTTATCTTCTAGTTGTGTTTATTAGGAAGGTGCTGCTGCCCAACTCCTGGTTTGTTTCTCTTTGATACTTCTAACTACACCTGCGGGACAACGTTGGTACTGATCACACCATTTTTGATATATTTTACATGCAGCGTAATAACTAACAGGCAATGGACTCAAAAGTTTCAACTACTATATTTGAAACTAGTCTCACCTATGACGTTGCCATAGCAGATCAAAGAAAGTTGTACATTCCTATAGATCTGAAGTTGTAAGCAACTACACATAACTTGGCACTCATTCAGATCTCAAATCTTTTATCGACGAAATGGAATGGCAAGCGTCGCTATTACGAAATTTAATCCCCTTTCCAAATTTATGTTTTTTGTGACGTTATCAAAACTGTTATCAAAACTTCCTTCAAGTTATTTTGCAATGTGATATATATTATACCCTTTAGCAGTTTATACAGAGTACTGAAGAGTATAAGCTGCCATTAGGTCTAACGCATATGGACTGTGAGAAAGCCTGCGATCTAGTCTAGCCGAAATGTAAGCGATACCACAGTCAAAGCGTTGTCAGTTGATGAGGAATTAAATATTTGTATAGGCGACTACGTTGGCTATCTGAAAACAGTATATATAACTATATCACGAACACGTATTGCACTGTTATAAATAGTTACAACTCAATAACAAGAAGAAGAAGAAGAAGAAGTATGTTAGGGCTGAATCTGAGTGACAGGGTGAGAAACTGTGTGATAAACGAAGAGTGTGGGTGTGGTTTGCAAGATGATGCGGTGACCAGGATTAAGAAAGTATTGCTTCGGTGGTTTGGTCATGTAAAAAGAATGAATGAGGAAAGACTGACAAAGCAAATATATGATGCAGAAGTAAATAGAATAGTCGGAAAGGGACGTCCTAGGCGAAAGTTTGTCGACCAAATTAGCGATATATTAAAAATGGGCCAAATTAAGAGTACCCTAAACCGACGAGCATGTATGCGTAGGTATACGGATGTGGAAGAAGCGAGAGAGGTATATCAGGATCGTGCTAAATTGAAGTCTGTAGTCTCTGCCTACCCCTCTGGGTGACAGGCGTGAGTGTTTATGTTTGTGTATTATGTTATGTATGTTTAACTCAATAACCGCTATAGCTTTGCAATCTTGAGGTTGTCATCATTTATCTGGCTTAATTTTACTTGCAAGAACTCTTAATTTCATACAGTTTGGATGTCTTAACGTTATTTATTGGTTTTCATCGAATATGTATTGGTAAATCTTTACATTCATGAAATGTCATACTCAAATCTCATTTTATTTTTGTTAACTATGTCGCATGTTGCAATTACATAAAGTAAATAGTTTTTGGATTTTATAAAAGTGAAGGTCTGTAGCTATCATAATAGGACTCTGTTCTTCTGTTCTGAGCAGAGCAGTTGCGTAATTTTAGATCGCTGTCGAATTGATTTTGACGTTTAACCTATGGTTTCATCGAATTGTGTAAATGTAGAAACGGCGCAGTGGCGCTTTAAGAATATCCACTACCCCATATCGTCCTGAGGGTGGCGTAAAAGCCGACAGAAAGAGACTGAAACAGGAGACGGGCAGGAACGTCTTCCTGATGATAACTCCTAATAATAAAAAACTGTGGTTCACTAACCAATAGGGATAGGTAAAAAAGTTACAGCCTATATACGTCCCACAGCTGGGCGCAGGCCTCCCCCATTTCTGAGAGGTTTTGGAGAGAGATGGAGAGCCGTGGTAGCTCAGATGGTTAACGCTCGCTGTAAATATAATAGGGATAGGTATACGAAGCAATCTATACAATTGGCATACGTACAGTTGTGGATTTTTTATAGACCGTAATGGGTGAAATGGAAGGAATACTTTTCAGTAACTTATAGGGATCAGTCGTACCAAAAATTATATCTGGATAGGTACCAGCCGAGCAATTGCGTAATTCTGATATAAATAATGTTTAGATTCATTGTCTGACGTCAAGTTTGACATTTGTTTATGTTTGTTATGTAAATGTAGGTATAAGTATCGATGATAAGACACGGTCAAAGATTCCCATTAGCACTAACATACTCAATACATACAAAATAAATCAAATAACAGAGTAATAAAACGTACGTGTACGTGATAGGCGGTTCTATATATATTTGCAGCTAAATTATAGTTGTAGCACGAGTAATATCAGCTCACTACTGCTGTGTTTCGTATGGTGAGTGTAAAGCACTGGAGACCGTTTTTACTGAAAACTGAGGCATTCTGCAACAACGCATCTGCATTTTGATTCTTAATTGAGGATAAATGTAGATAGATGTCTAATGTCTGTGGGTCACAGCATCCACTTACCATCAAGTGGACTGCGTACTTGCTTGTCACTTATTCTATAAACGAAACTGTAATTGCCAATCCACCCGCAGAGCGTGATAAGTATGGCAAACATCCCACTTATAAGGCAATATATATGGGAGGGCTACGTTCATCATTGGACTTTGTTAGTGGGGCTCGATAGGCTGTAATGGATAAATGAACCTACAAGAAGGAAAGAAAAAGGAAAGAAAATTGTGATAACTGCAAAGTGACCGGAAGAAATGCTATTTATAGTGTAATTTTTGAGTGTATAATAGTCTATTTTCTTTAAAGTAGTTTTAGGTAATTAATCGGGGTATTGTCATAATTATAGCCTTTGATTTCTAATGATAATTATTGGATGTGACACGATACACCGCGATTGTGTTAATATAAAAAGAACTTTATTTTTAAAATTATTTCATTCCTAACATTTTTTTTTTCAAAAACGTTGAAACCACTTCATATGAATACAGTCGCTGGTCATGGCAACTTTTCAGAGAGCCATTTTAATAACAAGTTGTGATGCATCATCTGAGACTTTAAGGATGACCAAGTAAAGTTCTTTGTATCGGAGTTAGTCGAAGGTATCAACGAGTTGCAGCGGCTACTTACAATCAGTTGGACCGTCAGCTCGGCCTTGCCGCCTTAGGGCTGGATATTTTTCTCAGATTTTATAATGAAGTCGGAAAACATACAAAATAATCATTAAAGTCGGAAATCCGTGTGGTAGCTGTGTAAGAATATTCACTA